ACTTAAGACTTTAATGTTTGAGACCATGTACTTTCCTACACTGCAATATAGTAAAATAAACTTTAATAGTTTATGCATACTTGATATATGCAGTATGTTTGTATTACTAGTGTGAATGTGTGAGTGAGAAGTATCTTATTTTCCGTAAAAAAAACCCAACTAAGATGTACTGATAAGTTGTGCTATATGTCATGGGCTTTCTGCTAATCTGGGCAGAAGCACATTTTATGTAACAGGTACTTCTTTTAAATACAATAAAAGAAGAAAAAAAACCTTTAAAAAACTGGGCAAACTGATACATATCTGATACCTTTCTCACGACCCGATACATGTCACGGTACTTGCATGTGCTCTTATCTGTGGTGGGTAAGCCATCTTTGTCATAGACAGGATGGCCAGGTATTTCCTGGCACACTAACGATTTTCCATGCTTACAGTTGGCAGCGTCAAGAAGAGATGAAAATATTTACGTTTTCACTGCTAATTTTCACAAGTAGATAGTGTTTGGTGTAACATATATTAAAGAATACATTTATGGTAAGAATCAATACTTTTTACTTAGTGTGCAATTGTGATCGATACCTGCATCAAGAAGTAAAAAATCGCAATCCACTGATGCATAAGTGTATCGTCCCACTACTAATTATGATAATGTTAAGCGATTTAGGAAAAGTTTAAAACAGCTAGATTACATTCATGCGGTTTTGACATCACATGATACGTATCGAATCAAGAGCCAAATATGTTGATACAATGTGTCTTACAACCAGTCCTGAAGCCATTTCACCGACATTTCATTAGAGTTATCCCCCTTTACCATGTACCCAGCCCTGTAGAACACCGAAAAAGTTAGCCGTTAGAATCCATTTGATTCATGCCACTTGTTGAATATGGGATAAGTGTGCACAAAAAAAGACTGCACTTCACTACTTATATTCACAAACTTCAAGAAACACAAACACCATTGTAATAAAGTGAGCTATTAATCACAAGTGAGATGTCAAATTTAATCTGGGTAAACAATCTGGAAATAAACATTGCCATTGACACAGCCAGGCACAGTAAGTCATCATATATTATCACATGTCCTTATCAATCCCTCTTTCTGTTTCAACCCTCATACGCACTGACGATCTGTCGCATCGACAGTTTCTGTCATCCCGATGTACATAAATCATTACATGCATCTGGTGGGCAAATAAGCACAACAGTGGTCATACAGGGAGTGATTTGGTTTCGAAAAGCCTTGACCTTGTCAAGCACTATATGAAAGTATGGTGGCCACGGACAATGCTGCATAGATACCCTGTTCCACACATGTCATGTTCGAAGTGATCTCTGATATTCTATCCTATAATTATTGTCGCCTCGGTTGTCCCGATCACAGAAGAAAGGGAGACACAAGGGTACAAGAAGATAACACTGCTATAATCATGATAATACCCCAGTGAATGTGGTCAGTGGGGGTGGCCATATTGGGGACATCTCAAAACACAGAAATCATTCCTCAATCATGTGAAAATGGCATTAATATCTTTCTCAACTATTTTTCAAACATACTCTGAGGTGCACTGTTCTTGAATATATTACATGTATTTATTAAAATTACTTAGGAGATATGTTCAATGACAGTATTGAACTTGACTTGTCAATGAATTATTACACTTATGAACCATTTTATCAATATCTGTCATCAACATGATCAACCACATACTGTAGCCTTGGAACTCATGACACACACCCTCAAGAATTTTTCTATTGAAGACACTCCACAGAATGGGATCAAGCTCAATGTACACATCAAAGGGCTCTGTCAGACTGACAACACAAAGAGAAGAATATATTTAGGAGACTCAATGGTTCACAATGGGTAGAGTTCGTCGTCTGTGTGAGTTTATCTATGAGGTTATCATCTTCAAGGAAAACCATGAAGAAGGAGTCGCCATTACCATGATGACATTAGGAAGCATGGTGACAGTGTGGGAACTGTATTGGGAACTTTGTCAGCGGCCATTACTGGTGGCAGCATGCCGACAATGTCAGGGCAATAATGGTGGCAACATGGTGACCATGTCAGCGGCCATTACTGGTGGCAGCATGCCGACCATGTCAGCGGCCATTACGTATGGCAGCATGGCGACCATGTCAGCGGCCATTACTGGTGGCAGCATGGCGACCATGTCAGCAGCCATTACTGGTGGCAGCATGGCGACCATGTCAGCGGCCATTACTGGTGGCAGCATGGTGACCATGTCAGCGGCCATTACGGGTGGCAGCATGGGGACCATGTCAGCGGCCATTACGGGTGGCAGCATGGCGACCATGTCAGCGGCCATTACTGGTGGCAGCATGGCGACCATGTCAGCGGCCATTACGGGTGGCAGCATGGCGACCATGTCAGCGGCCATTACTGGTGGCAGCATGGCGACCATGTCAGCAGCCATTACTGGTGGCAGCATGGCGACCATGTCAGCGGCCATTACTGGTGGCAGCATGGTGACCATGTCAGCGGCCATTACGGGTGGCAGCATGGTGACCATGTCAGCGGCCATTACGGGTGGCAGCATGGCGACCATGTCAGCGGCCATTACTGGTGGCAGCATGGCGACCATGTCAGCAGCCATTACTGGTGGCAGCATGGCGACCATGTCAGCGGCCATTACTGGTGGCAGCATGGCGACCATGTCAGCGGCCATTACGGGTGGCAGCATGGGGACCATGTCAGGGACAATACTGCTGGCAGCATGGCGACCATGTCAGTAGCCATTGCTGGTGGCAGCACAGTGACCATGTCAGCGGCCATTAATGGTGGCGGCATGGTGACCATGTTAGCGGCCATTAATGGTGGCGCATGGTGACCATGTCAGTGGCCATTGCTGGTGGCAGCAAGCCGACCATGTCAGGTCAATAATGGTGGCAGCATGATGACCATGTCATTGGGCATTACTGGTGGCAGCATGGCAACCATGTCAGGGGACATAACTGGGGGCAGCATGGCGATTGTGTCAGGGGACATTACTGCAGGCAGCATGACGATTGTGTCGGGGGGACATTACTGGTGGCAGCATGGTGATTGTGTCGGGGGACATTACTGGTGGCAGCATGGTGATTGTGTCAGGGGATTGTACTGGTGGCAGCATGGCCATTGTGTCAGGGGACATTACTGGTGGCAGCATGGTGATTGTGTCAGGGGACATTACTGGTGGCAGCATGGTGATTGTGTCAGGGGACATAACTGAGGGCAGCATGGTGATTGTGTCAGGGGACATTACTGGTGGCAGACAGTTTTTAGGTGTCAACATACTTTTCCTGTTCTACCCCAGTCTGCATTGATTCCTAAAGTTTCCTGAGACACTGCCCCAACAGGTTGCCCAGTATTTCCACAGTTTGCCCAGTATTTCCACAGTTTGCCCAGTATTCCAAACATTTGCACAGTATTTCAACAGTTTGCCCAGTATTCCAACAGGTTACTCAGTATTTCAACATGTTTCCCAGTATTTCCACAGTTTGCCCAGTATTCCAACAGGTTGCCCAGTATTTCCACAGTTTGCCCAGTTTTTCAACATTTCCCAGTATTTCAACATGTTTCCCAGTATTTCCACAGTTTGACCAGTATTCCAACAGGTTGCCGTGTATTTCCACAGTTTGCCCAGTATTCCAACAGGTTTCCTGGTGTTTCCAGTTTGCCCAGTTTTTCAACATTTCCCAGTATTTCCACATGTTTCCCAGTATTTCCACAGTTTGCCCAGTATTCCAACAGGTTGCCATGTATTTCCACAGTTTGCCAAGTATTCCAACAGGTTGCCCGGTGTTTCCAGTTTGCCCAGTTTTTCAACATGTTTCCCGGTATTTCCAAATGTTTCACAGTATTTCCACAGTTTGCCCAGTATTCCAACAGATTGCCCAGTATTCCAACAGGTTGCCCAGTGTTTCCAGTTTGCCCAGTAATCCAACATGTTACCCAGTATTGCCTAGCGTGCCCAGAAATCCCCTAGTTTCTGGCTTTTAGTTTACCACGGGCAACAAGTTAACCATATTCGTGGACAATTTCCACAAATAATTAGCCTATGGTTGCTTTTTCAAACTGGAAAAAGAACTTAGAAATAAAAATAATTGCACATAGGTTTTGATAAATCCTGTCCTTCTTTCCCACTTGGAACAAAGTACAACATTGAGACAGTCATTTATACAGCACACAAAATACTGAAGTCAGAGCTCCAGATAACCCTCGTACCTGCGTGAAATACGCATCAGAAATGCAGAAATATGCAGTAAAATAAAATCCAAGTGTATCAAATACGCAACGAACATTATAGATACGCTACAAAAATAAAACTTGTGCGTATCATCAAAATATTGTGAAGTAACCCTGCGTATTCGATTAGCAAATCAGCAACTTTTTTTGAAATTATAAACGGGTATTCCGTCAACCTTGCCAAACTCCACGATGACAGTTACATCATGATCATTTGCCATCACACTTTCTTGTGGAAGTATCGTGGTATTTTTGAGTCCTATAAAGCTCTCGAACCCACACGACACCAGTTTGCAGGGACTAGATGAATAGTGTTTTTAAATATTTAACTTAAATACCCACTAGTGGGTAACAGAAATTTGAATACCCAGATAGAATCACTGATACCCAATGATTTTAAAATGCATAGGTAAAATACCCACAACACAGAAAACTTATCTGGAGCTCTGTGAAGTACAAATGGATGAAGGATGTTTTGTGTTATTAAATGCCATAGAGAAAGTAGTTTTTAAAACTACCTGGGAAACAGAAAACAAATAAATATTCAAGTCATAAGAGAATAATGACTTCAAAAAGAGTCTTAATAACTGTGATAAAATCCCATTGCCTCTGTCAACACACATAATCATATAGGTTCAGGTTTAACTTTTCCACAGGGCTGCTGGACAAAAAAACTGGCAGGAAAACGTTCACCATTAAATGTAACAAACAAATCATTCTTCATCATCAAATCAATGTTACTCACCTTTCGGCTGAGCCCCGCCATGCTGTCTGGTCACTATGGGAACTGGATCTGTCACTCTCTTCCCCGGCAACATCTCAGTGACTCCCTCACTCACACTCTGAACCCCATCATTATCTAGAGTAGAGAAGGAAAGGGATGTTAAACTTAGAGTCACCACAAACCTCTTAGCAGGGATAATTCTAGGGTGGGGCCTTGTGCTTTTAGCCCCTAAATCTGAAAAAAGGACCACATTTTCAAATACATTGCACTGTATGACATACCTCTGGAATATTTGAAATTTTCAAATAAAGGGCCCATGTCCAATTCTTGGAGTGAACCCTCTATTAGGATATGTATAAAATGAGATTCAAATCCTAAGCTAGGCATGCTTGAAGGAGATGTGTAAAAGAATTTTTGTTACAAAAGGAATATCTTATCGGTTACATATTGGGAGAAACGGTGCAGAAAATCGACATGAAAATTGTGAGAATACCAAACTTAACCCCTTGTATGTAAAATGGATCTGTCCGACATTGCCGAGGTCGGAGTGAATTCAGGGAGTCATCATTATTTAAATACGGGTAAATGTTTTAATAGCTTGTATAATTTATTGACATCCTTAAAAAGGCTGTACAAAATACTGATATCTGCACCTCTCATGGTTTATACTCCCTGCAGTGTTTTATTGTACAATCAACAACTCCCACTAGTCATTAATTTCTTAAATAATGTATAGTTTTGTCCTGAACTGTCATAGTTCAAGCATGTAAATAATGAGGGCTAGACATCATGAACATCAATCCACCCAAATGGAAATAGGATGCAATCAATCAAGTCACTGAGTCTGACCAACCGATCCACCTCACCCAACAAGCATAGGTTGCGAGGGACCTATATTCTTACCCGGAATCCCCACAGGGAGACAAGCATCGGCTCTTGGGAACCTCTATTCTTATCCAAAACCTTCACAGGGAGACAAGCATAGAGTATTGGGGACCTATATCCTTACCCGGAATCCCCACAGGGAGACAAGCATCGGCTACTGGGAACCTCTATTCTTATCCAAAATCCTCACAGGGTTGGTTGGTTTGTTGTTTAACGTCCTCAGCAATATTCCAGCTATATGAAGACGGTCTGTAAAAAAATCGAGTCTGGACCAGACAATCCAGTGATTAATATCATGAGCATCATTGATATGCATCAACCAAGTCAGTGAGCCTGACCACACGATCCCTTTAGTCGCCTCTTACGGCAAGCATCCTCACAGTGGAGGCAAACATTGAGTACTGGGGACATATATTCTCACCCGGAATCCCCACAGGGAGACAAGCATCTGCTGTTGAGGACCTATATTCTTACATGGAATCCCCATTGGGAAACAAGCATAGGTTGCTGGGGACCTAAATTCTTACCTGGAATCCCTATTGGGAGACAAGCATAGGTTGCTGGGGACCCATATTCTTATCCGGAATCCCTATGGGTCCTTCTACTGCATGCAGTTGTAGTGAAACACAAAATTCCCTCAACAGTTTTGTGAATAATATTGATGATGAACAAATGATTTGATTATTTGATATCAAACAGCAATTTCAGGGATGCACATAGGTACGAGCACCAAGTCAGTAGTATCCCAAGTTAGTTTTGTCTTATGATAAGGTACACCGATGGCTAGTGGAAGGTTAGCATGTTCAGGGGGTGTTCTTTTACATTTTCACTATTTGTGCAAGTAAATATTTTAGGGCACCCCTTACAATCCTAATTTATCACTGCATAGGTAAAAGCATGGTAGGTAAACGAACTTTCTCAGACATGTTAGATGATAATCGATTACTGGAACATTATTAACAATAATAACTTGTAAACATGTTTACAATGTATTCACAGAAGTTTGTTACTGTGAGAACATGGTACCACAAATACAACAAAAACCATGGGCTGGGGGACAGCTATAAGTGAACAAATGTAATGTGTAAATTTTCATCAGAACCTCATCTAATAAACTGGTATATATACAGCAACCATACTTGTTTTACATTTACAAATGGTCGTCTCATGTAACAATAATCACAAAATAGTAATAAACGTTGACTTTTTGCAAAAAGCACCCAATTTCCTAATGTTTGACGCAATATCTGGGCACTTATAAAACGCTTCTTCTAAACAGGGCACCTGCTGGTTGCTAACGCAAACAATCTTCGAATGTGTGCGTTTACATATACGTCTTTGCTGTTTCATCATATTTATCAACACAGACCATACCACAATGTATAAATAGCGTCTCAGAGCTACTTTTGGAAGCGATCCAAGTCAGCCGACATGAGTGTAACAGGTCTAAGCAGTTGTCATGTCACAGTGCACTTGTCAATGTCACTTTGTTTTGTTTCGATTGAACCGGTCTATGTTCAGATTTGAAGAAAGGGAAACTTACCCACGGATTTCAATGATGTCAGTTATTTCGGTGTAGTTTTTGCATGTAGTCTTTTAATTGTAACGTGTGAATTTTTGCAAAACTTTATCTTCACTTCCTAACGCGTCAACTCCAAACATGCCTCAACGGCTTCCACCAAATCCGCCGCCATGGAATGCACTTCCGGTAAATTGTTGTCTGGGAGGAGGAAGGGAGATAATCCATTTATGTCACAGTTCTTACTTTATTCAAAGCGGAGAAGGATCACTGCTGTTCGAATCCAGTATATACCCACCATGCTTTCATTACCCAGTATAACGATTTTGGTATATACACAAAAATCCAAACTTTTCCATATTATAAGGATGTAAATGAACGTCAGCTTACACACTTTCACGTGTTCGATTTCATTTATGAAATTCATTGTGATTACGGGTAAGAATAATGTTTTGATTGTTCGTTGTTTAACAACGCGCGCTCAGCAATATCCCAGCTATATGACAGCGGTCTGTAAATAATCGAGTCTGGACCAGAGAATCCAGTGATGGACAACATGAGCATCGATCCAGGCAAATGGGGTACTCAGACATGCATCAACCAAGTCAGCGAGCCTGACCCCCCGATCCCGTTAGTCGCCGCTTACGACAAGCATAGTCGCCTTTTACCGCAAAAGAATAATGTAAGTCCCCAGAGGCGACTAAATGGATCTGGTGCTCAGACTCTGTGATTTGGTTCATTGTTCATCATGCGTGGACCGTTGCTCGTGATGTCGATCACTGGATCGTCTTGCCAAAACTCGATTATTTACAAACCACACGTCACATTCGTCACCACGCCCGGAATAACACGAGTTGGTCACGAATGCACACGTCATACAGATGGAATGGCACAACAAATAAAAATATACCCGTAACATCACGTACGTTCCAATGCAGACAAAAATCATTTGGTACCCTTTTAATTGGACAGGTTGATACAGACCGACATTTTATGCAGTAGTAGAGACGAATGGCTCACAGTACAATTGGAATGGCAGAATAATTTGTCACGTGAAAATGGTATTGAAGAAATAAGTAAACTACTGAGGTTTTGCCATACAAGGAACATGTTTTAGAAAAGGATAGAGAGTGGATATAGTTAACATTCTTCCAATTTAATACATTATTCATTGTCTGTTGACGTTCCCACATCAGAACAAGATGGGGGAAATATTTAAATCGTAAATGTGAAACCTATAGTGCAACTAAACAATACATAAAATTCATCTTCAATATCACCCGAATAACAACTCATACATACAAAAACTAACTGTCAAGAATTTTATTACGAATTCAATTTACAAATATTTATCACATTAAAGATATGAAAAGAAAGTCAAAATTTGCCAAATTTCCTTATTAATTTACGCTTTTTATTTTTGTTTATCTTTGTGATGAACAAGTGTTTTACAACACTTGTAACTTGTAAGGTGTTTTGTTAAGCCAGATGCCATTTTGACGTTGTGGTTGTTTCAGCTATAATTTTGATTGACATGTTGCCTGTAGATGCTATACACGCTGAAACCCCCTGAATGCGGCCACCACCCTTTTCAGGACGGCCTTGTTGAAGTGCGTATATGTTAATAACAACCGTGATGAGTTTGTCCGGAAACTCACTGTATATGGCCACTTGATTTGAAATGGGCTTTCCATAAGAGACACGCAGGCACGTTGATGCGGTTCGTTGATTCAGTACGTTATAGAGAATGTGCGATTTGTTAGCTTCCATTTCTTGTTTAGGCGATCGGTTAATTTCCACGTGAAGGTAATTTTCCTTTTCTACACTTTGGACGTCGTGATATTCATCAGTCAGTAAACCTCTCTCTCTCTCTCTCTCTCTCTCTCTCTCTCTCTCTCTCTCTCTCTCTCTCTCTCTCTCTCTCTCTCTCTCTCTCTCTCTCTCTCTCTGTTGCACTATTGCATAAAACCCTATTCTGTATACGCTCTATTGTGGAGGTATTTTTGGGGCGCTTCAGTAAATCGTCCGCTGCATGTAGTATCATTTAAAACAACGTATACCGACATCAACCATCAACATCATTAACCTTGCACAACAAGCCGCCCCAAAAAGTAACAATAACCTCATCTAATGTAAACCATTTCAGCATCATATTACAGCATGGTTACAAATAGATGTTGACAAATAAGATAAATACGATGAATAAGACAAGTTTGGAAGCCACCACAAAAGAACCGCCGCCTTCGTGGTGGAGTGGACAGAGCTTCTGCCTTGAGAACGGAAGGTCGGTTGGTTGGTTTGTTGTTTAACGCCTTAAACAGCTTTATTCCAGCTATATGACGGCGGTCTGTAAATAATCGAGTCTGGACCAGACAATCCAGTGATTAATATCACGAGCATCGATCCACGCAATTGGGATCGATGACATGTATCAACCAAGTCAGCGAGCCTGACCACCCGATCCCGTTAGTCGCCTTTTACGGCAAGTATGGGTTGCTGAAGACCTATTCTACCCCGGAATCTTCACGGGTCGCCTTGAGAACGGAAGGTCGGTGATTGGATCTCCTTGCCGCGTCATACCCACAACCTTTGTTATTTAGAGTATGACATACAAGCCGATATATCCTTAATGTATCACATTACGGGTAATCCTGAATAATGTTATTATTATAACTATTTTCCGAGTAAATGGTATGTTCCCAAAACTGAACAAATCTAATCCTGTGGCGTAATCGCTCCAGCCTTTGCACTAATGTGACGCCTTTTAATCAGACACAGAATAAAAATGGCACAGTTATCGAACACGCCACGTGAAAGAGGAGTTATTTCGTTTGTTACTTTCCCACATGAATTTGCACGAAAAAAGGCGAACTTGTAATTTATTTTCTATGTTAATAGTTACCGTTTCACTAGTTACCATATGAATACATTTTACACTTAGAACAGAGAATTTGCTGCAAAACCTAATTTAGTGAGTGAGTGAGTGTTATGGTTCAATGCCGCCTTTAGCAATATTCCAGCAATATCACGGCGGGGGACACCAGAAATGGGCTTCACACATTGTACCCTTGTCGGGAATCGAACCTGGGTCTTCGGCGTGACGAGCGAACGCTTTAACCACTAGGCTACCCGACCGCCCCAAAACTTAATTTAGAATCAAATGGGTTTTATATACATATGTTTAGATAACATGCTTAAAAGTTGTGTCTTGCGTCTCGTGTCACGGTGGAAGATGGCAAGTACTGTTAACCACGTGTGTGTGATAATGTCATCTGCCTTGTGCATGACCTCTATCAGTGTGTATGTTTTTGCTCAAAAGTCGGGACCTCGAAAATGCGGGATCGCGACTGTGAAAACGCGAGAATAGACTAACATCTAGTCTCTGAAATGAACATATCGTACAGAAAAAACAGTTGTTCAGTTATCTTAATAAAAATATAATAAAAAGGGAGACCAGTGATTCTCTTCATCTAGACTTGCCAAACATTATAGACTTGCATGGGCTGTAGTTGATATATTTGTATCAGGGTCTGTAAGACAGACTAACGCGAGAAGTATTCTGGTACTATTAGAAATAGTACGCATTCACACAAAAATAAGACCACTAAATTGTATCTACGATTAGTGGTAGCATGGCGAATCATGCATTGACGATGGTATATCAATAGATTTAACTCACTTGAGCTATGCGTCAGGTGATAAAGTGTTTAAAATAGGGTGTGGATGTTGTAACTCGAGACTTCCGCAAAAGGATCTTCATTTATATCCCCCAAGCACAGCTGTTGGATCTATTTATAGGTAAGCACGAGACTCATCACGTGAGGTGCATCCAAAACATATTATGAGAAAAAGGGTATTCCCCTTCTTGACCTCCAACAAACACGGCTTATCTCGCCAGCACCAGAGACGACGTTGTTGTTGATTAACTGGACAACCTGATCTCTCGTTCATGATAAATCATTACCAGCATCTGGGGGTCACCGTCCTGCGCCGTGATTGACCTAATTATTTCTTCCTGTTGACAGCCGCTCTGTTAGGCAAGCCGACAGTGAGTATGGGCATGCTTATGTAACAATAGCGTAACTCCATCCTGTAACTCTGTATATTTAGGTCTTAACCCCGAGAGGAGCTTTTGTGGGTCTTAAGAAATATCTGATGTAAACTTAGGATGGTAAACGATGATAATTCGGTAGAATTATTTGATAATGTTTTGATGAATAAATTATGTGAATTGATGGAATATTGATTTTTAGCGCATGACGAGTGGATCACGCCAATATATCGTATGCACTGTTTTTTGCTTGTTGGTTTTTGTGGTACATGTCTGTAGGAAAACAAAGAAACAAACAAACAAACAAACAAACAAACAAACAACAACAACAGCAGCAGCAACATCACCAACAACCAGGAATACTTAGACGATCGTTCCGGGTTAATTCCAGAATGAAACGCTCGGTGACTCATCGTTTTAAGCTGCTACTTGGGCAACTCCCTGCGCCCATTGCCTTTGATCGCTCGGCAAGCAGTCGTTGATGGTAATAGGGGAAGTAGAAAACCCGGTGGACGAAACAGAATACCCGGGAAGTAGGATAAAGTCTGAACAAATAATAGATGGCGGAATTGATTTTTGGAGGAAAAAAGAAGATAAACATCCTACGTTCGCGGTTTGTTTCACATGCCGGGCTTAAGAAAGAATAGACTTGAAATTTGGATTTATATGATATGACCCAGTTCCAACGTCTATGGGAAGAAACATGCAGTGTGCTTTCCCAACTTTCTATCAGGTATCGGTGCTGTCTTTGACATGTTGAATGAAAATATGTGTTTATCTTTTCCTTTCAGAAACTAGTTTTGTATTTCTTGTAGCAGTGATAGAAAGCCTATACTTGATCTTCCTTGTCTAAAATATTAACGTCACTTATCTCCCTGTTTAAAGAGCTACTTCAACGTAGGATAGCGAAAATATTTATTTCTGGCAATTGTGACCCAGAATGTTACGTTTCAACAAAAACTTTTCTTACAAAATACGGCTATTGATCTGAATGTACTGTCCCTTCAAAGCTCGTTCTAGAACCATCTGCGATGAAAGGAAATCTATTCAGATTGTCAGTCCTTTCAATTGTAGTGAGTGAGTTGTGTTTTACGCTACTTTGAACAGTATTTCAGTATATCACGCCCAGTCGTCTGAGGCGCCGCGATTCGCTGTGCAGAGTTGCGTCCCTTGGGCACGCCAGAAACCTCTGATTGTGGGTTCGAATCCCGGTTGGCCCCGAATATGTTTCTAGGTTTGTCAGCACCATTACCGTGCTCGTGGGTTTCACCGAAGTGGTAAACGTCTGTGACCTGCATCACTCCGGGCTTTCCTTCCACATCAAGCTGACACGCCGTGATATAACAGGAATACTGTTAAAAGCGGCGTTAAACCCAACTCACTCACTCACTCAGTATATCACGGCGTTTCAGCTTGCTGTCGGTGGAAAGCCTGAAGTGATGTGAAACTCTAATCATAAACCCAGGGGCTCCGCACCCACACTCCTTTTGAAACCAAATGTAGTATGTTGAATTCAAGAAAATTGACTGAAAGAAGATTTTGATATTTTAGACCCCTCCCTTTAAAAAGTGCAGGATCCGCCCTTTGTGATGCTAACTGAAAATCTGTTCAAAGCAGGGTTCACTCAAACTCACTCACGCAGTATGCAGTGTGCTGCGTCGAGTGAATGAGTGAGTGAGTATGGTTTTATGCCGCTTTTAGCAATATTCCAGCAATATCACGGCGGGGGACACCAGAAATGGGCCTCACACATTGTACCCATGTCGGGAATCGAACCCGGGTCTTCGGCGTGACGAGCGAACGCATTAACCACTAGGCTACCCGACCGCACCTCGAGTGAATGAATGTTTGACAAATCGTGGCGGTATTACGCACAACTGATCCTTTCTTCACATATATGAAGTCTAACCTCCCTCCTTTACAGATATCAATCAATAAATCAATCTTTATTTCAGAAATACTGAAAGGCCATAGGCCTTTAGTACATATCTTTGTGGATAGTGGTGGACATATTGATTTCTACTTATTTAGGTCATTATCATTTCTAAAATTCATTGCATGGAATATATACGCAGTCAAAGGCTTCAGTTCATTGATATTTGTAGAAGACATTAATTCATTTAACTTATAAATATTTGGAAATTGGTACATTGATGGGTGTAGGTATATAACTCGTAAATTCTGGTAAAATGGACAAATGAGAACAAAAGGGGACTCATCCTCTGTTAGCTGTAGATTACACATTTTACATAATCTAATTTCCTTTGGGACTTTGAAATATCTTCCCGTTTCAATATTTAATTCATGGGATGAACGTCTGAATCTAGAAAATGCAATTCTATAATTGTACAAGAGCGGTTTCAAAAGATATTCTGCAGTTATAGAATGTGTTTTAAACAAACTTAAGTACTGACATTTTGACGATAAAGCTAACAAACATACCACTGTTGTAAGTACGTATCTATGAGCCTTTTTGTACACAATTTAACAAAATGTTCAGGACAATCTACATTTTGACATTGCCAAGCAGAACCAAAGCCTAAATCATTAATGAGCTTTTTAACTGAAGAAACCCAGTTTTGCTTTCCATTTTTGTCATACAATACCATCATTTCATAACACTTTTTTGGGTACCTATTATTTGGCATCAGTAATAGCCACTACCACAATAGCCACAATAGCCACTACCACTACTTTATGACTTTGATTTTTGCATTTATATATTATGGAAACCTACCACATTCACCATATACAACTACATTGGGGGTCTTTACTCCTACATATTTTTTGCATGCACATATATGCACCCTTTTAATCAATTCTAGCTGATGTACTCCCCAAACCCCAGCCCCATATAGTGGAATTGGCTTTATTTTTGTGTCAAAAATTTAAAAATAAATAGATTAAAATTTACACTCTCAATAAATCTGAGACGTTTAAGTATCCCATAGAGAATATTCTTTGCTTGTGTTGCAGCCTGTATTGAATGGAAATTCCAAGATAATTTAATAGACAAATGTACTCCCAAATATTTATAGCTTGTAACTCCGTCCAGATAACTGTCTTTGCAGAACCATTTCTCCCCTTTTCATAACATACCGCCGTTTTTCAATACAATAACTTTGGTCTTTTTAGTGTTGACACTTAAACCAAATAGTTCACAAAATTGCTCCAGCACATTTAGTCCGGGTATAGTACTCTAAATCATTACATCATCGGCAAACAGAAGCAAAAATATTTTAACAATATCTGGGTGTAGCTGTATACCACCTTTACAATTGCTTTGTATTTCTTCTGCCAGCTCGTTAATAAAGAAAGTAAAGAAGAAAGGACTTAATATACATCCTTGTCGAACGCCTACATTGCATTCAAAATCTTCTGAGTACTTACCATTGCTTCTTACACAAGTCTTTACTTGTTCAAAGATACTTGTTAATAGTTTCCACATCTTGCTTCTTACTCTTCGTAATTTAAGCAAGGCCGAAAGTTTATCACGGTTAACTGAGTCAAATGCTTTAGAAAAATCTACATAAAGCGCATAAAATTTCCTTCCTTTACTTGATAAATAGACCCGTGAAGATCCGGAGTAGAATAGTTCTTCAGCAGCCCATGCTTGCCGTAAAAGGTGACTATGTGATATGCTTGTCGTAAGAGGCGACTAACGGGATCGGGTGGTCAGGCTCGCGGACTTGGTTGATGCATGTCATCGATCCCAAATTGCATGGATCGATGCTCATGATATTAATCACTGGATTGTCTGGTCCAGACTCGATTATTTACAGACTGCCGTCATATAGCTGGAATATTGATGAGTGTGGCGTTAAACAACATACCAACCAACCAACCAACTTGATAAATAACGTTGAATTAAGGAATGTAACACAAAAAATACTAATCTTCTATTAATGACAATCATCTAAGAATATTTTACTCAGTATGCTTAATAATGTGATGCCTCTGTAGTTATTGGTATCATTTACATTACCTTGTTTGTGAAGAGGAATGATAATGCCCACTGACCAATCTTTGGGAAAATTGGAGTTTTCAAAAATAGCATTAAACAAGACTTCTAAATATGGGATAATTATATCTGATGAATTCTTAAGAAACTCGGGTATTATGTTGTCAATACCAGGAGACTTTTCTTTTTTCAATCTTTGTATACTTGAAATGATTTCTTCTCTTGAAATAGGGAAATCTAATATATCAGCTACTAAACTAGTCTCCTCACTGTCTATTTTAATGTCTTCTTGCAAATCTTCACTGTTATTGTCAAAAGAAAATAAGTCTCTAAAATGTTTCTACCAGGTATCTTTCTATGTTTATGTCTCGTATTTAAACCTGTCTTTTACCATTCAAGTGTTTGAGAGTAGACCAGAACTTTTTTGGATCATTTATGCTACTTTCTAGTTTTTCTCGCTGTCTCGCCTTGTATTCCCCTTTTTACTTCTGCATGTTCTATTATACTTATTTCTAGCCTGATTGTAAATTGATAAGGATACTGCTTCTTTAGTTTTCCTAAATATATTTAAGCACCTACATCTTTCCTTCTCATACACATACCAGACTTACACAATGCTTCAACCAAACATTGCACACTTTCATTAATGTCGGTTAATGCCACTTCCATTGATCTGTGAAGTAATTCTTGTACAGTATCAGAGTAAAAAGTATCATAATATTGCTCGTTCTTATCATTGTCCCACACAAACTTGAAACAATCAACTGTATTACTAGGTGTGTTACCTAAATGAGTAGTATAGGTAATAGGGGTTCTGGACCACTTCCACTGGAGCCGGATTTATATACCTATACTGCTACTACAGATGGAATTTTTTATGCCAAAATGATTATGTGATTTAACGATAGTCATGAGATTGGCTCTAGCTCACCAATACCTGGGGCCAATCATTGCTTTAGATGAGTCTAAATGGTAATAAAAATATTCTTTATTATTTTTATCGATAAAGCGATATTCAACATTTTTATTAAGTTCT